GAAGAGACATGGAGATAGAGGGAGAAAGCACACCTGAATGGAGTGTAGTCATGCCTCAATCCTTTAGTCGTTTTTCCACCCTGTTGGGTCTACTGACTCAGTTCCTGGAGCTTCCGGAGAACTGATCACCTGGTGATTTCCGGAGAGGCTGGTGCATTAGGAGAGAGCAGGAAGTTCCAGGCACCTTCCTACAAGCCTAACCCTATTCATCTCATAATCTATATCCTTCAGAATATCCTTTATAATAAAACAGTACTGGTAATTGTCCCTTGAGTTCTGTGAACCACGCTGGCAAATGAGTCCACCGCTGGCAAATGAGTCCACCCAGAGGAGATGAGGAGGTTGGAGGAACCCCAGTTTGTACCTTGTTCTGAAGGCCTGGACATGCAGGACTTGCCACTGGCACCTGAAAAGGAGTAGATAGTAGGGACCAGCATTTGGCGTAATGGCTATGTTGCTGGACTCCCATGTAGTCCACTGTGGTTCGAATCCTGGACTGGTGACTTAAACTCACACTGAGCGCTTGTGCTTGTGTGCCCAAGACCACAAGAGGAGAATGGAGGAGAAGGGATTGCGGGTTGCCATCCCCACTGGGGGGGTTATTTCTCACTCTCTGTCTGTCTGTTTCTCTTTCTGGTGAGCGCATGCACCCTATAGCAAAAAACCTCTTTAAAAAAAAAAAAAAAAAAAAAAAAAAAACAAAAAAAAAAAAAAGGGAGTAGACAGTCTTGAAGTCTGAGCCTTCCACCTGGGGAATCTGACGCTAAGTATCAGAACTGAATTGGATTAGAGGATGCTGTGTTCACTGCAGAATCGCTTGCTTGCTTGTTGGTTTGTGTGTCTGTGTGTGTGTGTGTGTGTGTGAGAGAGAGAGAGAGAGAGAGAGAGAGAGAGAGAGAGAGAGGCCTCTATAAGTCTGGGGATCTGTGTTGTGTCAGGAAAAGTGCTGTTTTTGTTTGTTTGTTTGTTTTACTTGCAGATGTGAAAACAGAATTCTGGGGATCTGTGTTGTGTCAGAGAAAGTGCTGTTTTTTTTTGTTGTTGTTTGTTTTACTTGCAGATGTGAAAACAGATCAAGTATTGTATAATACAGGATGTTCGAAATATTGGGCGCCATGGAATGTCATCTGCAGAGAAGAGGTCAAGAGGCGAGGGTTGGAGCCGAGTTTCAGTGGGCGCCTCTTGTTAGAAGAGAGCGTAGGGAGAGGCGATCTAGGGAGAGCGGGAGGCCTCTTCTGTCCCCAGAGGCCGGGACAGGGAACTCCGCGAGGCTCATTCGCCAGGCACACGGGGAGGGGCCGGTGACCTCACGCTGGCCAGGACTCTGCGAACATTAAACGCGTTGCGATTGCGGTGGCGGCCGCGCTGCCTCCCAAGTCCGTGAGGTGGGTGGAGCGGTTCTTTCTTCCAAAGTACGGCAGGGCAAGTTCCTTGGTTTCGTGTTCCGGTGCCCGACGGCTGCCTGGGAGATGCAGAAGTTGGGTGGGGCGGGAGTAAACAAGTTAGACGAGCAGCTGCGGCCTCCTGGGCGCAACGGGGACTAGAAGAAGAACCCGGCGAGCCGGGCGCTTCGGTTCCCATCGCGCGCGGACTTTCCTGCGCGCCGCGCACCCGGGAGCTGACTCTGAGCCAGCTCGCCCGCCCCCGCGCTGTCGCACGCCCCGGGACCGCGT